ATTATAAGGAAGCAATTTTCTCTGGAGTTGTTGCTGACTACCTAAAATGGCATTTTTGATTCCCCTATTCTGACTCCCTTAGATTTTTTCAACTCTATTCCTCAGAAAATCTTCCACCTTCCTATTTCTGATTGTCATAATCTCCTTTGCTCGCATTTTAAGTTTAATATTAAAACTCTGATTTAATTTAGGAAATTGCTTAAGGGTATAGTGGTATAAGGTGATTTGTTTTGGTTCTTAACATGTCAACTTGTGTTACATCACATTGAAAAGAGATGTTTTTTTTCCTTCCTTGTCATCCAAGGGGCTCCCCTGCCCCTTAGGTTACAATTGTGAAGATGATTGCTTAATCAGCATGACCTCCCAAACCCCTCAATGTTTTCATTAAATCTGAAAGATTGCCAGCTAAATAAACACTTTCTGGATTTCAAAATAAGGTAATCGGTATTAGCTTATAAATAAAAAAGTCAGTTTATTGAGGATGCCATGGTGAAAATGTGTATATTTGTCATTCAGTGCAGAGTAGATAATAACCTAACAGACACACATACTCATGAGATTATTTAAAAAGGCCCCATTTGTCCTCATGCCACACTATACTGTATTATTATCTTATTTTTAATCTTGTATTTAGCCAAATGTATATAATTCAAATAATGACTGTTTCCCCCCCAACCTCAGAGAGACACAATTGCTTGGATTATCAGAATCCCAGCTTCACCAATTATTACCTAAGTTACTTTGGTTTTTAAATTTCTCTATGCCTCAGTTTCTTTATCTATAAAATAGGGATAATGATCACACCTACCTCATTAGATTCTTTTTATTTTATTGATTTTTTACAGAGAGGAAGGGAGAGGGATAGAGAGTTAGAAACATCAATGAGAAAGAAACATCTATCAGCTGCCTCCTGCACACTCCTTACTGGGTATGTGCCCGCAACCAAGGTACATGCCCTTGACTGGAATCAAACCTGGGACCCTTCAGTCCTCAGGCTGACGCTCTGTCCACTGAGCCAAACCAGTCAGGGCCCTCATTAGATTCTTGTGAGCATTAAAGAAATGAGGATATGTGTAAAATACTAGGAAAAGCTCCTGGTACTTAACAATCAGTCATCATCCTGATCTTCCTCTTCCTCCTCTCCCTCTTCTTCTCACCCCCCCCTCCTCCTCTGAATCATCATCTTAAATGGGCTATGATCTGTACAGGAAAACCTCAAATGCTCTGGTTGACAGTGGAGGGCTAACAATAAAAGCATGTGTATTCAAAATGGAAATGCAGGACAAAATACTACCTGTCAAAGAAAAAATGTGGTAGAGGCTGGCTAAATGCTCTCAATTTCCATATTATGGACATTCAGGAAGAATATATTTCCCCTCATTCTCACAGATACACTGGGGTATATAACTGGTTTCCAGTCAGTTGCACCAGGGTAGAAGTGATGCACTAACTTTCAAACCTAACAGGTATCTCCAATGATCACCTGTCATACTCTTGCCCTTATCTGATCCACTCAGATGCCCTGTATTTCAGATAGTGGCCCCACGAGATGGGAGAAACAGGGTTCCCTGCATTCATTCCTGGAGAGTCAAACGTCTTGTACCAGACTGAGCCGTGAGCAAAAGCAAACCTGTATCACATTCAGTTGTTGAAATTTCTGAGTTTATTTCTTATAGCATCCATTCTTAATGTTCACTCTGCCTACTAAGCTAATATCACTCAGCCCTAAATCTATTCTAAATTCTGTCTTAAGATGCTGGCTTCTTCTAAACCCCAAACGGTGGAACATAACACTGATGTAAGTGCTGAGTAACACAGGTCCAATAGAAATGCACATATGAATTGCCCTGGCCAGTGTGGCTCATCCTGTACACCCAAGACTGTGGGTTCGATGCCAGGTCAGTGCGTATATCCAGGTTGTGGGGTCAGTCCCTGTGGGGGCAAATTTGGGAGGCAACAGATTGATGTTTCTCTCTCACATTGAAGTTTCTCCCCCTCTCCTTTCCCCTCTCTCTCAAATCAATAAAAACATATCCTCAGGCGAGGATTTAAAAAATTACACTTGAATAAAGTGACTCAAAGCAAATATGAGCTTTAGAGCTGAAGTATCAAACTTAATAATACTTAATAAAAAATAAAGTTAATTGATAGCTAATAATATTAATGAACTTTGTAAATAAACTTAAAGTGACTCAAGGTAAATATGAGATTTAGAGCTGAAGTAAAACTTCTCAATTGAACAAAGAATATCATCAGATTAAGTATGCAGTCCTCCTGCCTATTTTTAAAGGTAATATCTTGCTTATTTTTCAAGATAATATCATCTTGAGAGAGAAACATGGGAGAAGAGCAAGTCAAGGGCACCCAAAAAAGGACTCTCCTAGGCACATGACTATCTGGAAGCCAATAGGTCAGAACCTTATAAATATTTCAGAGGGTTGTAGCTGTAAAATACCACAATCTCAGCAATATGAATCTTAAAATATTTAAGACTTAACACAACCTGGTCCCATAATGTTCCCCTAACAGGAACAATATTTAAGGGATACAACCCTCAATAGGCACTAGAAATGTGGACAAGGAGAATAGTAGAAATTCTTCCCAGGCAGGGCGTAACGGAGGCTGGAGAGGACCATAGACAGGGGAGATGGACAAAGCCTCTTCAAGGACCCACCCTGACCTCTGGTTTAGGAAGACTTTCCAGAGGCTGCCAGTAGGATTTCACTGTTGGTTTTCACATGTACCTCATTCTTTCTCTTCCCCAGCATGAGTGTTTATTGTGGTTTTCCTCTTCCTACTCTTTATCAGTATATTGGAATGCATGGTCCGAACTAGTGCAAAATACAAATAATTTACTCATAGGGGATTCACTATGATCATTATTTGATGTGAACAATGAGTAAGCAGAGCTCACAGATTGAAGATTTTAGTTATCTCTCTTGGAATGTAATAAATCTTTTTCAGGAAAGAGTCGAAATACGACATGAATATTTGGCAACTAGAAAGGTAGACTGTGGCGGAAAGGGGATGCTCATTAGTTCCACCTGCTTTTCCTGGCCACCTCGCTGCCTAACATTTCCCAGCCTCTCTTCCAGTTCAGATGGGGCCATGAGACTAGGTTCTGTGCAATGGAAGGATGGCCACACATTCAAGTCTGCTCTGTAATAGTCCATGCACAAGGGCCCATGTGGTCTCTACCCTTTCCTCTGTGAGCTAAGAGGCCATGGGCTTAAAAGAAGGCCGTAGCAAAAGATGAAAAGAATCTACATCTTTGAATCCTCATTTGACAGTGAAACATCAAGGAGAGCTGCCTAAGGGACACGGGCTATGACATGAGAAAGAAATACTTGATTTGTTGATGTTAAAAAAAGAATTTTTCGAGGTTATGTTACAGTGGCTGATGTTTATCCCTCAACACAGCATTAGATTTTGAAAGATTAATTATTAGATTTAATTAAATTGGCAACTTGATGTATTTTTTCTTTCTACTCGAAGTATTTGAACGGGAAGAAAATGTCACTCAGACAGTGAGATAGTGTGGTAAAGTAGAAAAAGCCTTAGCTTGAGAAGCCTGGCCTCAAGTAAGCCTTTTATCATTTACCAGCTAAGTGACACTTGTGGAGTCAATTAAGTTCTCTGGGCCACCGTTTTTACATATCTGTAAAATGAAGCTAATATTATGTTACCCAATTATAAGAGAAAGCCAGGCCAAATGTTTGCTCAGGATTTTTTATGGTTTTGATCTATGGTTCTATGAAACAGGAATTAAGCACTAAAGCCACTGTAATGAGAGCACAGGAGTCATCCTTTTATTTAAAAATTTTTAGCTACCGCATGATACCTGACAACATCTAGCTTTATGAATAAATATTGTGTAACACGTGTTTCAACAGTGGTAACTCATTCTAAGCAGTCTTATTGGAAATAATTTATAGGAGAGTGAGATGAAACAGGGCAGATGATAATTTCAAAGAATTTATGTCCCATAACTTTATCCAATCGTTCCACATACATCTCTTCAGATGCTCAGCCCTTTTCCCACAATCTAAGATGAAACTTAAGGAAAGCTTCCCTTTCTGTGTTTTGTTATCTGAAAGCCTATTCCCTGAGATGTTTTTTCTTGAGAGCCACTCAACAATGTTTGCAAGAGATCACTATTTCTATGTAAAAGTAATAGAAATTATCGAATGACTCCAAAGTGAAAAACAAACCTAAAATCTTTGCTTATATTTAATTTATATGTTCATCAACTAATACATGAAGCTAATAAAAACACTGGTATCTTTATGAAGTGGTAAAGCAATTAAAATATATCTCATATGTTGAAATAAAACAGAGAGACTAAATGGAATTTTCCTTCTGTAAATCAAAATGAAGAATGTTACAGCCAAAATCTAAACAAAGAGCTTTTAAAAGCTTCTTTTGCTAATGAGTTTTCTTTTCCTAATCATTGGGAAATAATGGCTAACTGAAACTGAGCATTTAAACTTAAAGCTGAAAACTAAACAAAAAAGTATATTATTGAATTGCCTTCCAATCACTTTTGCAATTATTTAACTCATAATATTATATAAAATTATAATTTTTGAATCCCCTTTCCAGACATTTTGGAATATATATTAAGATATATATGATTCTCACTTTTCATTGTGTTTGGATAACTCTACTCATTTTTGCTCCATTGCTTCCATTACACAATAATAGAATATAAGATACAAACTTTAAATATCTCTTTATCATCCCTACCATAATGGAAGGGCAAATAAATAGAAAGAAAAATAAATTTTAAATATGAATCAAACATGATTATTATATGACATTAAGATATTTCTATTAATATCCATTAACAAAATTGAGTCTATAAGAATAAAATACTAGTACAAATGCATATATTACTGTAAACAAAAATAATGTGTATTTAGAGACTCATTCCTCTCCCAATTTCCTTAGCATTCTATTTACATAAAAGCTATTTTGAGGTAAAGTAACTTTTCACTCACCAATGTGGAGGTTTGTGAGGCATCAGCCAAATCCCCTGAGATCTCGGGTGTTCGCGTGTTGTTTGGGATCCTGTGAGGGTTACGGGCTATCGCTTCGCACCAGCCCAGCATTTTCTCCTTCCTCTTATCCCTTTTCAATTTCTGAAATTCTGAAAATAATTTACATTCCCTGAAACAAGTTACGTATTTTTGTTGTCTATTTTTGGAACATGTACATAATTGAAATTAAATAAGCAATTTAATAAAATACCAATCGAGAACATTTTATTTTAACCAGAGGTTATGGAGAGGAAAATAAGAATATGCTTATTATTAATAACATCCCAGAGCCACAGGGGGGTGTCAACTGTACACATATATTCAAGGAGCCTACTATGTACATCCCAATTTGTGACCCTCCTTGACTGTGGACATTTCTTCCATCTGGTTCTAAGTGTTATTTCCAGGGATCAGTTTATAACATGAATTGCTTAACTTGGGAGCTAAGAACAGAACCAGTTCCCTATACTAGTATATCTCCATATTTCAATGACACCAAAAATTTGACATAGCTTTTCATCTGAATGGCCTATAGATACAGAATAAATTGAACACAGGCCAGTGACAAAGATTACTCATTCTAGCAATGGTATGATTATCTCCCTTATAAAGTTCTTCCAACTAAAGAAGGATAAATTTTAGTACAAACATGGTAAACTTAGTATATGACAGTGATCAAATAATGATTTTTAAAAATTGCCTTATTATCTCATGAGTACAAATATTCCATAAACCTTGCTTTCCAGAACTTCCCATTTGGGGGAATTTTCTTCTTTTGGCTTTGAAAAGTTATATCAACAATGTCTTTTAACATAATGAAGAAAACATTCTTTCCCTGTAAAGTTTTACAGCCTACTTTTCCACTCCAGCACTCTCAGTAATTAGAAATAGTTTATTGCAGGTCTTTAGTTAAATGCATTACACTGTCAATTAAATATCAAAAATAATGTGGGGTAATTATTTTTCACAGCATAGAAAGCAATTAGCAATCTGGTGGTTTATAACATTTCAGGGATTCAAAATAGCACATTTCATAGTACCAAGAAAAGTAACACAAAGAAAGGTTGCACTAACAGATTGATGAGTTATTACTCTAAATGACAAAATACTCAAGTTAAATGGATCTGAACAATGTAAATAGAGAAGTTATAAAATAGACTTTCATAAAAATTAAGTCCAAGATACTCAGTGGAATGGATTTCTAAATTAGAATGGTAATCTGAGTGAATCATTCATCTGCGGTACAGGGAAATGGTGAGAGAGTTTGAAAACAATTATTTGAATGAGCAACAAATTATTAATGCTTGCCCTTTCAAACATATTGCTTAAGATTTTATTGAAAATTCGTATCTATGTTCTACAAAATCTGCATATCCAACTAATTTACACTCCATGGAAAGTAAATATTTCTGCATTCCCCGACACAATATCTTGGTTACTCATCAACTTTAAATTAGATTTCTTGAAGTGTGCTAAGAGTAAATGAAAATTAGTATCTTTATTCAAAGGCAAGAAGTGCAATGAAACATAAGGACCAAAACAATTTAATCAAGTATAAACAAATGTTCCGCTGTAAGTCACTTGGATTTTTTTGTGTGAAAAGTTTAACTCTATATACTTAAATACACTTTAATAGTTATAATAAAATGTTGAATTCATGCATGAAAAAGAAAAAGCATAATAAAGTGACCCACAAAATGATATCATCATTACCCATTCTGGGATATGTTTTTAAAGGCTGCCAATTTCTTATTCCCCATTCAGTTTCTGAAATTAAATAAAACAGTTTAATTTCATTTGCAGCATGCTTTTGTGGTGATGGTGGTGGCCATAGCTATGTTCCTCCTAATTCAGTCAACATTAATCCAGAAGTATTTATTGAGCCCTTATTATACTATAGGTACTAAAGAAGGCACAGAAGAGTCACAAGATGAGAGTTACTTTCATTTTGGATATGAGTTAAATTCTGTGCAATATTCTAGAGAATTTCAAAATCCAAGAATAATTCAGATCTTTCTGACTCTCTAAATTTTGGATTTGTAAACTTATTTATTTAACTCCAAGGTGACTTCCAGCTCATCTTGATCTTAGATGTCTTCCCTGCAGTTGGCTTGTGCAAAGCAGCCTTTTGGACCATTCTGTTGAATTGCTATCAACATGTCATCATGACAAGAGTATTAAGCTTTTCATTATAATTGCTAAAGGAGTATAATATAATGTCAACTGCATTCTAGTTTTGTTTTGCATGTGACAAGTATTATCTTAATTCTAGAATGACTAGGTAAGCTATGTAATTCAACAAGATAAATACATACTATTTTTACCTAAACACTGTGTTTATGATCTTCCCTGAATGCTTACTGTGGACACTGCACTGCTCTCTGTTGTGTCAAGACAGGAAAAATACATGATAAAATGTGATGGCTTACAATTGAACTGGGATCTATTCATGGGAATATTTACAAAGAAAGTTGGATTTTTTAAAAATATATTACTTTATTGATTTCAGAGAGGAAAGGAGAAGGAGAGAGATAGAAACAACAATGATGAGAGAATCATTGATCGGCTGCCTCCCGCACGTCCCCACTAGGGATCAAGCCTGCAACCCAGGCATGTGCCCTTGGCCGGAACCGAACCTGGGACCCCTCAGTCCGTAGGCTGACGCCCTATCCACTGAGCCAAACTGGCTAGGGCGAAAGTTAAATTTTTGAAATGACAAGAGGAATCTAACTACAGCCTTTATTTCAACCTTTTACTATTTGAATGAAGATATATGAGAATATAGAAACTGCCTATGACGGTTATGAAGCTTCTGTTAGAGTCACCAAAGGAGGAAGAGAGAAATTTTGTCTAACGACTTGCTCTGCATAATATGCACCAATGACTTCACCATTTACCTTAGAATCAAAGAATTATAAGCGGAAGAATCCAATGTTTAAATGGCCTCCAAAGAAGCAGCATGGGGGGAAGCGAGAGACACTTCCTGTGGGTAAGTAATAGTTGCTCAAGACAATATCTTATTTTCTGTGATTACAAAACACTAGAGTTTAGGTCACATTTCAAAGAAATCTTTTTTTGCACCATTGATGTTAGAGATTTAGAAATAGTTTAGGTGACTTGAGATAACTGAAGGGTTAATAATGTTGATTGTTGAGCCTCTGCAAACCAGCATTCTTCCTACACAGGTCTGGAGGACTCATCATAATCTTAGGGGTAAGAATGTACTGCCAGTCAGCAGAGTAGGCAAATTAGGAGCATTTGCAATTAACCCTAAAGCACTTTAAACTGTAAGTATCATCAGTATTATATCAGAATAGGAAAGTGGTCATTAAGCATTCATGTTAATTGCTATCTAACCATTGAACCAAGCTAATATGAGATACAGCAAGGAGCAACTTACTTAATGATCACAGGAAATTGAGATTTAACTAAGCTTAATTTTTAATATGCTACTTCAAGCAGATATTTAATTTAATAAAATAGGAGCACAGTGCATTCTCTGTGAACTAAATTGACAAAATTAAAATTAGGAAGAAAAAAATTGCAAGGCAATTGGGTATATCTCATGGAAAATTATTTACTTTTAATTCAAGGAATCGTTTACTGAAGACTTCCTTTGTGCCAGACACTGTACTTGGAACTATTGGCTCAGGCGTTAAATCCTGACTGAGCTCAGGCGTAAGAGGGGAAACTGACAAGCAGATCCACCAACTTTTGATAGTGCGCTAAGTTCTGTGAAAACTTTGAGGAAAGGCATCTGACTTAGCATCAACTGAAGGACAAGGCTGATTTTAGATGTCTCTCCAAAGAAAATAAAATTACAAATAATTTACATGAGAATTACAATTATTGCTATGCCAAAGGAGGCTATTACCAGCTGTGTACACAACTCCAGGGGGCATCATGCACAGGGTAATCAATATAAACAGCATTGGGCTCCAAGGGCTGCTCTTAATAAAGAACACTGTGCGAATGGTGTGCCTGGAGTTGGGCAACCCTGCAGAAAGAAAGCCTAAGTGAAGCTCATTACACTTACTTTACCGAACCCAAGCCTAGTGTAATTTAATCTTAAAATAAGAACTTTTTTCCCCACAGAAAAAAAATGCTGTTGCCTGCCTCTACCTTGCCTCCCCACCTCCTCAACTCTTTCCTTCCTAAAATTTGCCCACTCCTTGTCATAGCCAATAGAGTTAGAGGCCTGGCCAAATGCTATCCCTCTTCAGCATACACATACCTGAGAAAGTCCTCACCACCTCTACTCCTACAGATCATCATCCTCAAATTTAAGTCTTCGGTATAGTCTTTGTCTAAAAATGTGAAAGGGCTTTTCACTTGCAAACTTGAGACATTTGGCTATATATTTCTTTAGCTTAGAGTCAGTAAGAAACATGTTTCAAATATTGAACACTGCCTTCCCCGAGAATAATATTGAAGTTCAATCTCCATTATGAAAGAAACAACTTGTAAATAAGGGAAAGGAACGAACAGTTCGAAATATGCTTCCCTTGCTCATTTAACTGCATATTTCTGAAAATTAATATTGGTTCCTTGGCGGGGTGTGCATGTGTGTGCCTGTGTGCATGTGTGTGAAAGTTCCAAAAAGTACTTTCTAGAAGCTCAGAAAACTATAACATGCGTGCCTAAAACTCAGACAAACTTACTCTGGAATCCTGTGTGGTTGTTTTAAAGTACTCACACACAACTATGAATTGTTCTCGAAGACTTGGAGTCTTAAGAACCACCAAGGACTGCCTGCTGGGATGAATTTTGAAAGTCTTTAGACCAGATAGTCTTTGGATAAGGGAACGCTATTTCTTAAATTCACAAGATGAAAATGTGTATTGGGCTTTCTAATTTCTATGCATAGGATGTGAGGTTTCTCAAAAGGAAAGAGAGGTTCACAGTTTTATTCTACAATGTGAAACACTAACTGACATAGAGCCCAATAAATAATTGTTGATAATAAGATGCATGATGACATAAAGAAGAGCTCTTCTGCTCTGGCCGGTTTGGCTCAGTGGATGGAGCATCGGCCTGCGGACTCAAGGGTCCCGGGTTGGATTCTGGTCAAGGGCATGTACCTTGGTTGCTGGCACATCCCCAGTG